TTGTAAATAAGAATCTTATTCTTCATCTGTCGTGTCTGGTGCAATAAAGGTGAAATTAACTAAGCAACAAAGACATATGAACCATACTTCTGTTTTTCACTCTAAAAGAATGTTTTCATAATAAAGAAGCACAATCAGTGGCTAAGGATGATTTTCAATTAAATACGTATATATATTTATGTATAAAGCCTATACAGAACATGCATTAACTTCACAAAAAACAAAACAAAGTGATTAACAATTACACCAAACTATATACATTTCACACTCTGAAGCACTGTCTGGGTCTTCTCACCATGGTGTACAAAATACTGCAGCATTAAGTAGACTCCAGACAGCTGGCTGCTTGCAGCTGAATTAACTTCCCTCTATGAGGGATATTTGGGGACATTAAGGCAAAGACTGATTAAAAAAAGAGTCTGTCTTTAATTTGAATCAGAGTGGCAGAATTAGAAGGAAACGCAGAACATTAACATTCACAAACAAAAGAAAAACAGCAGACCACGAAAGATAAACCAAAATGAAAAAACCTGGAGGATTAGTTGCCACATTAGTTGCAGAGAACGGGGTGATTGAAAACATATGTAGTCAAAACCAGCCAGAAAAAAATCATCCTGGAAAGGCCACTAAGATGTCTCATCTGCAATATGCTGCTCTACGTTTGAGTATCATCTGCATATAGATGATACATCCATGATGAATTTGATTGATGATAGTGTCACCTTCACGTTAATGTTGAATGAAAAACCAGCAAGTTATTGCTTTTTTTCTGTGCTGGCAGAGAATCCACAGGGTTTAAAGTTTCCAAGTCTTAACTAAATATCTCAAACATCCTTCATCCCATAACCAACGAGCAGCAACCCAAGGACTCGGCCACCACAGAAAGAAAGATTAAGTATTGATTAACATCAGGTGCACTGAACATTTGGGGAACTTTGTTTGGAAATCGAATCACATTAAAGCAGCTGGTTAACAACAATCCTTAAAAAAGATCAATACATATCCCAGGTCTAAAGAGTTGAGGAGACAGATCCCGATGACTTGTCCAGTCAGCTTATTTTGTGCAAGAATACAAATCAAGGTCACTTTGGTAGCTTCAGCTAACTAAAGTTTCAAGGTGAGGTTCTGCTGTACACAGAACGATAGAAGGTTTCTGAGAACACACTGCTTTACGTTTGCACGTCGCTGCATCATTTTAACTTCTCCGCCTCAAGTGTACGATGTTTTCTTCCTGTCAGATACTTTTCTTAGAGATACATAGACCTACTGAGCCAATAAAACTGCAAATGTACTCCTTAAACAGTAAAACCATAGACAAGACTCTGCTTTTGTTTTCCCAGTGGCCACTTGTGGTACTACACCAACAATCCTAATCCAAATGTTCTCACATTGGCTATTACCTAAAACACAAACAAAACCCAGAAAAAAGACATCAAAGCATTTACATCATTTTGCTGCCCCTTGCAATACCTCTGCCCATCCTGGGGGCCCAGCCTCCAGTTTGGGAACCAGCACTTTTAAATATGTAATTGACTAAATTGTATCAATGTTATTAATCTGATTAAAGGTATAGACATAGAATTATGCATTTGAAAGTGCCAAATGTAATTACACAGTAGACCTCTTTATGGGAATAAAAACTAATATTATAAATACATTAGGAATTAATGATCCTGAACATATCTCCAGTTTCTTCATGGTGGAGCTTCTGAAAATAAATCACTCACAATAAGTGCTTTTTATGTCAAGTGTACAGTGTGGAGCAGAAGGTGGGACAGGTGGTAATCCTACATCATGTTGGCCCTTACACTTCAGTGTGTCATTTCACAGTTCGGGGCAGTTAAGCAAACATGTTTTAATTTTTTTTCTTAAGATAAGTGTGACAACATGGCTTAGAAAGGACAATATTTTACGCTATGGGCGCCGTACTCCCTCCTGGTGTAACTGCTAAGACCCACTTTCAATGTCCAATATTCTTTTGCTGTACTGTTAATACACTGGCTTGACTTACTATTAACTACATATGTTAAAAAAACACTATTTTTATTCCAACTTGTCTGACACACCGTTCCTCTAAGGATCAGAGTTAGTGTTCTTTAAATAGAACCTTTCCTTCTCAGTGGGCAGCATGTCTAAGTCTAGTTGAATCTATTCCCTTTTCAGTGTTTTTTTTTTTTTTCAATTTAGGACATTGCAGTTACTTGGGCATCACCCACTGGGCAGAATAAAAACAATCCTTGTAAACATTTCATTGTTCGATAATGAAAAGCACCTGTTTGGGAGCTTAGTTTTTTTTTTTTTATTTCAATTAAGATCTTGTGTGAGAATTTCTGGAGGGAGATCCTGTAATAGCACATACACGAATTGCAGTTCAAGAGCCACTTATTTATCTGGGAGTTCCCAACATAGGGGGCGCGGAGCCAATATAATTTTACAGCCATTTTTATCCAAATAGTTCAAGTTTGTGTGTTTATTGTCCACCAGTTACGGGCTTTCACGATCTTGGGAGGTTGAATCGTTGTCAAAAAGTACAAGGGCAGGGGGCGCTATAGAAATAAACAAATTTTCATTTCAATATACAGTGGTTCCCAAACTTCTTCTGCAGCGCCCCCAATTGACTGTTAGCCTAGAGCTAAGTCTACCCCTTACTCCCCCACATCTCCTCCCACAGTCCCACTCCTCTCCATACCGACACATTGACAGCTATTACAGTTGGGAAAATTCCACTGTTTTGTACTAGCAATTACAATAATCACAATAAAGTTTGCCGGAGTTTTGAATGTGTCAGATGGGAGTGAGGTGGAAGGAATGGGGCTGTGGGGGCACTGTGAGTCCATCCAGATCACTGTGATTTGACCAAAGTTTGAAGCAGTGACCTTCTCCTATGACCTTCTTGCACTTAAAGACAGAAAAAACTCCATTGTAACCAAAGTCAATTTAATCCTAATGGTATAGAAAACTACACACACTGTGTGTAAAAACACAGCCTCTCCAGCACATATAGAGATTTAGTCTCCTCATGGAGTCCTGTATGAATATCCTCTGTACACTGGCACGCACCGAACAATGCTTTAGCTGCAGATTACACTGCAGGGATAAAAAGGGACCTCGTGCGTCAACCTCCTTAGTCCGGGACAGATGTTGTGTGTCTAATAAAGAAAACACGCTGCACATGTGCAGCAGTGTGGTGCAGGAGATTAAGACAACACAAACGAGAAACTTTTGAAGCGTCATCTCACAAACACTCATCTCCCCTCTGCCTACTTTCACAGCTCTGACGTTCCTGTCGCTCCAAATGCGCAAGGACGCGCAGCCAAAGTCATTGAGTGTGACCGGAGCCACAGCTCTCACCCGTCTGACTGATGATCATGCAGCTCCTGTGAGAGACACATATATCCTTCATGGACCGGCAGAGCGTCGCCGGGACTCACCTTGACAGTAGAACGTCACCCACAGATAAACTCCGATCAGTACACATCCCAAACTCCTGTGAAGCTCCATGGCAGCGGAGGAGCTGCAGCCGTGTCCGAGCGTCAGTGCAGCTTTGGGTGAGACTGTTGCTGCTCTCTCTCTCTCTCTCTTTCTTTCACTTCCTCACTCACTCACTCTCTGTCTCTCTCTCTGTCTCTCTCTAGCTCACTCTCTCTCTCTCTGTGTCTCTCTCTTATCCACACGCACTTTGTCGCCTTTTGGTCTGTTGAAGTGACCAGACTGCCTTTGTGCACAGCTACTGTATGTCTTTTTGTTATATCCTCCCTGTAATGCTGATGCTGATGACAACAATCCACAGGCTGTTGTTGCCAAATGTCGTCAACACTGTTGACGTTAGTCCATAGACTCATGTCAGCATCATCCTGGTTTATGGACGATGACACGAACAAAGAGGAACAGAAATGACTCTTATGTTTTTTTCTTATGTAGAGGTAACTTCTCAATTTTAGCTGCACTTAACTGACTTTTTTATCTTTAATTTAAGTAAACTTAAAAAAACAAATTATAAAACAAATATTATGCATTACAATATATCTTTAATTTAATAAGTAATATTAAAAAAACAAAATATAAAACAAATATTATGCATTACAATAACAATAATTACTATTATTATTATTACATTGTTTACCTTAAAAGAAGTGACTTCATGTCAGTTTTTTTTATTGCTAGTCTTAGGTTAATATCATAAGTGATATTAACCTAATTTACCTAATTTATTTATTTTGATAGACAATGATGAACACACATTGTCCTGTTGTTTTTCAATGGTTAAAATAAGAGGGATATTTATTTATTTATATGTACAGGTGTCTCTCTTCGTTTAAAATTTGTTTGAAATTGAAAGTGTAAATGTGAAAATGTGAAAAATGTGAAAATGTGAATTTTCCCCATGTACCATGCGCATGCGTACCACCAGTGGTACGTGTACCACAGTTAGAGAACCACCGCTGTAGGACATAATATGCTTACAAATCTGGGGTAGCCCATGTAATCCATATATGGCTCATATACATATATGGTCATAAGAACACAGTTCTGATATCATAGATCTATTGGATTGTTTTTTATTTTTTTTACTAGGCTAAATGTTTGTGGACTGTTCATCAATGACTGTCAGACATTCAAAGAAAGTTATATTTTATTAATGGTTCAAATGTGTTCCGGTAATACAACTGTATCGGAAGATAAAATGATTAGATACTTAAGCAAAAGCTGTTACACTTTCCCAAATGTTTCCCAAAATGCTGACAGTTATCCACAGACTAAGCAAAAATCCAAATGTTTCCCTAAATGACAGTTATCCACAGACTAAGCAAAAATAGCTAATCTAGCTAGTCTAAAAATTACCAAGAGTTGGCTCCAGGGCATTGATGAAGATAGTAAAAAAAAGTGGCGTGAAACTCACAACAGCAAAAATTTGGATCTTATGTTAAAAAGTAAAAAATTTGACTTCACAATATTAAAAAAGTCATTTTTCTTGTTTTCTTTAGAAAATCAATTTTTGAAAATATGTTCACGACTAGCGCCAATGAAAACAAATAGGTTTTTGTTCCAATGGACATTTCTTACATTCTATTGGAGTATGTTTGTACATTTGCAGTCTTGTTCTGTTTCTGATTATTTTCTTTATATTTGTTCACTCTCCTCCAGGAAACCTGCTCCTTATTTGTACGCAGAGTCCGTTCCTGATTATTCAGACCCTCACGCCGCAGCTCCATCTTTCAATTTTGTTCCTCTGGAGGAAAACCAAGAACTTTTGGATGTGTGAAATTACAATCCTGGTTCTGGACATTGATAAATCAGGTACAGTGAGATAATCTAACATGCACCTCTTCTTACTCCATGACCTACTATCTTTATGACTTAATTATGACATATTCTTATGACATATTCTTATGACATATTTTTATGACATACTATTCTTCTTACTCTATGACCTACGTCCATCAACTGTACTTTTAATGTTTATTATTTATAAACTCAAATTAGAATGACTCAAATTGTAAGTCGCTAAATGGCTTGTAATGTAAACGTCCATCATGGGATTAATGGAAAATTAGAACTTTTTCTAACAATCAAACTACAGTAAGTAAAATCATGTGTTCAAACTTTCCAAAGACGATCACAATCCTCATGCTGCGTCCTCTTTTTATAGAGACGGTTCCATAGAATATGTGTCATATTTTACCAGTTGTCTGTCCCAGCACAAATCCTATGAATGGTCATCTTAGAGACAACTTTGTGGCCCATTCATTTAATACCAAGATGTGAAGTTTCAGGTTAGTCACAATTTACTTACTTAGTGTGAAACCGGGACCCGTGTAGTTGAACACAACGCAGATGTAGTCACAGGAATTGAAGAAAGACAGACATAAAGATTCTCTTGTACTGTTGGAATCTCCTTATTTTTTTTTAGAATTTATACAAAGCCATCTGCTGTAAAAAGTTTTTAAAAAGTATTTAATGATTTTAATGCAGTAAAGAGATAATAGTTTTCAGACCAATAAAGTGAAATCGGATATATTTCTTCCAGTCAACTGATGATGCCGTGACACAGTTGTTGGGAATCATCGATGTGTCATTTTCTCTAAAGATAAGGGGCGTGTCAATCTGCAGGCTGCAAAAAAAAAAAAAAAAACAAGGTAGCCGAAATACTAATGCCAATGGGGGGTGGAGTAAGGGATTGGTAGGTGTGATAGGAGCTTTTAGCCAAATAGCTGTAAGGTACACAGCCCATTGAGGTCATGTCGCTGTCAACACAAACATTGAGTGTTATTCTTAGGGTCACATCCAGGGAATTAGGACACTGATGGTCTCACATACAACCACCTGATTTCAAGTCGTGTTAAACGTGTGCGGATTGCAGATGGTGCCTTAGTGGTTCAGTGACTTAAACCAAAAGGACGAGCTCAGCTATATTTCTTCAACACAAAGAATAATGTGTTTGATTTTTGCGTGGTAGACGACTCGACTGTCAACCAATAAAATTGTAGGAAATCTAAAATTACATTCAAAGGAAAGTGTGTAAATAGACAGATCCGTACCTTATCAGTGGCCTTCACAAGTTATTGTCAAGTTATTGTCAAGCATACAATAACACACTTTCATATAGTTTGTATTTATGGTATGTGACAGTCCAATCATGGAGTTGTGTTACTTAACCATGCATTGATTCATGAAAGTAAACAGTTTCCTTAGTGAAACAGAGTAATTAAAATGCAAAAACAAAAATTCTTCTGGCTTATTGAAATAAGCTGAGATAAAATAATTACTTTATGTAATTAAGTATTAATGTATTAAGTACAAATGTATTCGACAGCTGAGTTAGCTCCCGACTAAATCACACTTTACTACCAGTTTTTTTCCGACTCTTCAGTTTCTCACAAGACAGCTAGCCTTTTTTTGTTCATGTTGTTCCCAACTTTATAGTTGTATAGTGAAACTGAATTTTATAACTAGTTTTGATTTAAAAACAAAACATCTTCATGATGTGCTCAAACTTTCTGCTCTACGGAATTTCCAGCGATTCCTTTTATATTTTTAAAAATAGCTCCCCAGACATTAGCGCCGTGATGGTAGGCAGAGATGCTGCTCTCTTGACTTGTGAGCGTTTGTGATCGGTGCAGGCCGTGAATCCGATTAAATGAACGCAATTTCACGTTAGCATGCACCGCTGGACGCGTGTTTTATCAGGGCGGCAGCTGTGTGTGGAGCGGCGTGAATTTGCTTCATGTGGCCAGTTGTGTAAACATATTGCATAATGTAATTGCCTCTAACAAGACAGTTTTTAGCCCCCGTGTGATTGGCGACGGTAACGTCAGAAATCACTCCCGGTTGTTGCTTCTTGTTGTGATGCACAGCTGATCTTTTTTACAATCTGTTTTTACAGCCTGTCATATAATCCTCCCCCACATCCCAATGTTCCTTTTTCTTCATTTTTCCCTCTTCCACTCGTTTACTTTTTCCATCATGTCTTACTTAATCCATCTTCCTCTCTTCTTTTCTTCCTCTCCATCTGCCACAGTTTTCCTCGACCCCTGCTGTTGCTCCTTTCTCAGTCTCCTCCTCCTCCTCCTCTTCATCCTCTTCCCATCACTGTGTAGTCTTTTGTTGTTTCCTTCACTGTGGTCCGTTCCGTTCCGTTCTTCCGCAACTCCGCTTATGACCATCAGATGCAGCGCGACCGTTGCGAGGGCCCCTGCAGCGTTCCCTGTCACCGCCGCGCTCCTTCATTCATCTCTGCTTTAGTGTGTGTGTGTGTGTGTATAACACACCCTCCGCCCTCCTCCTCCCACTCCTCACCTCTCCCTCTTACTCTCTCTGCCTCGGGCTCCAGTCTGGACACATGTACGTGGACGGCGTTCAGCTCACATTAAATAAATGTCCTTTTGGCAGAGCCTGCGGGACTGAGGTTGATCCTGTGTGTGAGAGTGTGTGTGTGTGTCTGTGTACGAGTTAGTATTTGATTTTTTTTTTCATGTATATTATGTCCACATTGTCCACCTGTGTTGTTAATGTCACATACCCCTCTGTAGAAGCGACCCCCCCCCACCTCACCCCTGACTCACCCTGCTGCACTTCTCACCCCAAACACATTAACATCCAGCACACACACTGTTACAGCCTGCAGCCCTCTGGACATACAGACAGCATCATGAGGCTTATGAGGCTGAGTTCTGACGTAGACAGAGGCATGTGTGTCATCGTACTGTGCGAGCTACAGGAAGTTACTTTACGAGAGCTTTTATGGAATTTTTTTTCAAGCATGTAAATACCTGGGTCTGTACGGCACGTGGGTCATCAGATAACTGGAGAGTTGAACTAGCATGTAGAGAAGGTACATTACTTTTGTATCTTTTTTTTCTAAATACAGTCAGATGTTTTCTCTGATTGTTTGGTCTGGTATGAGAAAATGGTTCTATATAAATCACTGAATTAGCTAATTGATATGTTTTGTTTGTGTGTCTTTCTTCAGTTCCTGCCAGTACATCAGGATTGTGTTCAACTAAGCAAACCAGGGTAAGTAGTGAATTAAAACTAATATTTTAGTTATATTATATTTAGTTATATTATACTGATATTTTGACAATTGGTATTGTATGGCTCCAACGTGTGATACATGTGGCTCAAAATAACTCAAAATTTTCACACAGCTTTATGAAGTTCACCAGAAGTTAAAGTAAAAAAACAACAACAACGTCTGGTCGGGATCCTGCAGCTGGAGGAACGTGCTGAGAGGGATCTGCTGTTTAGTGGCTGGTCTACACCGCCTGAGAAACTGAGCCCAGTTTGAAAGGTTTGAGAGTTGATTTTTTTCTAGAGCACACACTCATTATTTCGTGCAGTTTTCCAATAGAAATATATATGGATTATCTGAATGTTTAAAAACCACAGCAGACAGACTGATGATGCTGTTTTCTGTTATTGACTATTACGATGTATTGTGACCTTTACCGTAAAGATTACAGATGCTCAACACCTGATTTGTACCTTTGTTACTGAAATCTGTGAATAGATATTTAACTTTCTGTGTGTACAAAAATGTAAGAATATTTTTCAAATCCAATCCTTTTTCTTCTTACAGCAGCAGACAGGCAGCAAAAGGTCATATGCTTTGACCAAAGGTGCAGGTTTCATGCACAGGATGTATGCCACCTGTGGCGGTGAGCAGCAGCAAAGGTTGGTTTTACATCACGCACGGCGACCTTTTCACCACCGTACAGTGTGACTGGCACTCTGATAGGACAGATTTACATGCAGGCACACAAACACGCCCACTGTGTGCACAGGTGACATTTTGGAAGAGGGTATAATGCAGCAGAGACATGTTATTTATTAGTCAATGACATGATCCGTTCCCTCTGCCTCGGTCACTCGCAGCCACAGAGCCAGGAAACGCAGGACTGTAATTTCCCTGCGGCTGCAAACCTGGAGTCTATTCATTAGGAATAAATGTGGGACTGATTTTTTTTTTTTCTGTACGACACACATTTCTCAATCCACCTTCAATTTCCCGGCAGTGACAACAGAAGTGCTGTTCAATATTTGGACTAATACCACTCTGGAAATGTCTGGAGCTTTCCCATTTCTTGTTGTTTATTTCAAATGGAGCCCTACGTCTGCTTACATCAGTACAACATGTACTCATCCCAGGAGTATACAGGAATATGACGTGACTGTGTACAGAAGCTTGATGTGTTGTGTACTTCGGTGTCACTGTTGATCAACAATATAACTTCAAATCCAATTACACTCAAATGGAAGAAGGAGAGTCAGGAGGAAATGTATTTTCTTCTTAGGTCAAGCTAACTGTACATTCTGTCATTCAATCTGCTTAGAAGTAATAAGTATATGGTAATCTTTGGATTTTTTTGATTTTTTTTTTTTAGCTTTTTTTAGCTTTGAGGTTCCCAAAGTGGGGGGCATGTCCCACTAAGGTGAGCAAAAACTATTGGTAGGGGCGCCCACAGTGAAAGGTTTGCACAAATTTTCCATTTTTTGTTTGATGAAAAAAACACTTTTGTAAGACTTACAGTTTTTTTTAAAATTAAATTCAGAAGCAAAAGCTCAAAACTAGTTGGCCTTGTGGGTTGTGATGATGCTCTATCTACAAAAGGAGGTGCTAAAGAGAAAAATGGGGATTGGTTTTCTATTGCGAAGCCATGGTCAGAGTTGCAGGGAAGCTGGAGCCAATCCTAGCAGTTATTGGGTGGAGTGTGGGGTTACACTTTTTAAATCCATTAAAACCTCAAACGTCCATTGTTTGTCTTGAGTAAAACACCTTCAACCTGTAGGTTCTGTGTTCAGACTCACGGGGCTGCTTATTTTAAAAACCCTCCATGTTCTGCTTGTTTATCAGAGTGGACTCCTTGGGGGCAGGCTCGCCCAAACACCCACACACCAACTCGTCTGCATGAGTCAGATGTGAAGCTGTTAATAATAGAAGAGGAGACTGAGGTCAGACCGTCCAGGTGCAGGGGAAACAGAGAAGATGCTGCCATTTTTAATAAGACTCATCACCAGGAAACTAGGCCAACGATGGAACGCCAGGATCCACACAGAGCTGAGGTTTGAATTAAAATCATTTTTAGATGTCACAGAAGCCCATGAGCTTGAAATTGACTTCACTTAAAATCTGAAAGATAAATAAATGTACAAACTGAAAATATGATGGTTTAATAATAGCAAAGATATCTGAAAAACAAACACTAAATCCCAATCATTTTAATTAAAATTGAATCAAATAAAATATATTACTGTAATCTTAAATACTAGAAATTTTATATGACATTATTTTAGCACTGAAAAATTATAATTATTTTTAAATTGAATCAAATAAAATATATTACAGTAATCTTAAATACTAGAAATTTTATGACATTATTTTAGCACTGAAAAATTGATACAGTCATTTCGCCTGTTTTTCACCTGTCAACAAAAACAGTTTTCTCTATCAGAGCTGTGTTGAACAGATTTATTGCTCCAGAGATCCTTTGCTGCCACGCGGTGGTGATACTGTAATATTACACCCTACGAACCAGAGTCGGTGAGTGACACAGTGCACAGTTCGTTTCTGCAGCCAAATACAGCTTGCCCAGTTCGTTTCTGCAGCCAAATACAGCTAAGAGGTAGATTTTAAGTAGCCTTAGAATTTCATCCTGAAATGTAAAAAATATATTTTTCCCACCGTTAAATGCATTATATATGTTGTCTATAATTTCTAGGAAAAGATTTTTAATATTGTTTCCATCAAGTAGCATTTTATGGTACAGAAAACTAATTTCAGCTATTTGTTTTCTTAATCTTTTAGCTGTGTCTCGCTAACTTTTAGCTTTTCAGAGTTTGTTACTGTCATTAACTTCATTTAGACTCTCTTTTAAGAAACCATGGCTAACGATTGGCTAATTATAGTATTCTTTTTTAAGTGATCTTCGATGCAGAAATTTGTTTTACAATAATTACTGAGCAAAATGTATTGTAATATAATATTTTTAAAGGCTCTAAGACATGAAAAGACTTCTTTCATCAAATTTTTCATAAAGAAACTAGACCAATCTAAATAAGAAAATGTAAATTTCCTCCAATATTCGTTCGTTTATTAACAGCAGTGTCCTGCAGCAGTTTTTCTGTTGTTAATATTACATGCGTCTTCATCAAATACACAGAAGAAAACAGTGGAAATGCGGATGCTACTTCTGCCTTACAGCAAAAAGACTACAATCCAATATTATTACGTGGTATGCTTTAACAGCGGTACATTTTTAAGTCTTTTAGCGACTGATCTGAATCTTGCAGCGAAAATACAGTAAGTTACCAGTGTAACATATCCAGTAGGTGGCAACAGTGCAACATAAAGGAGCTAGTTTGCTGCTGTCACAAGCAAACCAAAATGAAAACAGACAGAAGATTATGACGTCACATCTTTTATTGAGAACCTCGTTACAGAACATACAATACAGTGGAGTCAAGGTGCGTGTGTGACACAAATCAACCCATTGTGCGCGTTGTTCTACGAACAGTTACAGTGTTACAGTGAATACAAAAACACGGACGTCCAACAACACACACCACTTTAACCTGCTTATTGCTGTATCTCCTTGTTTCTCCTGATCATGCATACAATACAATGTAAATGTAGGACACTGTGATTCCCAGAACTGTTTTTTTGTCAAAAATACTGGAAATGTATTGCATTATTGTTTCATTCAGTAAATACAGTAATAGGTAGAGACGACCTGAAGAGTGCAGAGGAGGTGTTTTCAAAGAGTTTTTGTGAGTACTGTACGTGTATTCACTAAGGTGTGCTGAGGTACATCTTCAGAGCAGGGGTGAAGATCAGGATAGTTCCCAATATTGACACAGTGAGGAAGGCCCAAAGGAAAATTCTGTCCAACACCTGAGCCACAAACTTCCAGTCTTGTACGACCTGAAATGCAGAAATTATTCAGAATAAATTCCATAAAGTTCATTTAAATTCAATATTTGAATGACGGTAGAGATATTTCAGATGTTCAAACCCTATGTCTTTTTCGCTCACCTCTCGTATGAAGTGCTCTTTTTTAATGTGACGGCTGATGTAACGAACTGAATATGTGGCTTTTTCCAGCATGGCCAGCCAGGCCTGGTTCTCGTCCTCCTTTCCACTGAGGGGCGCCCTCTGCTGGTTACCACAGTGACCAGGGCCACCCTTCCTCCCTGCAGCTTTGCAGGACTTCCCCTCAGGGCTGTGTGTCTCCATGTCCAGGTAATGATATCTGCAGATAATTAAAACAATGTAAAATAGTAGTGTTTTCTGACTTGTATGTAGTGTGTATACCAAGGATGTCAAACATATGGCTCACGGGCCAAATCTGGCCCGCTAGGTGAATTTTCATAAAATGATAAAATAAAATGACACAGAAACACTTCATGTTCAGGAAAAAGGTTTTGTAAAATTATATTTCACCAAATATGAAGATTTATCTAATTTACGTCATTGCATGAAAGCAAAGGGGGAAAGGACAGACTTTTTGTTATTTATAGGTAATTATGTTGTTAAAGGTTTGACTCCGGCCGTCTCACCTGTCGGTGTGCCCTCTCATACACAGCAGTCTGGGCAGCCTCTGGAGGAACAGGCTCTTCACCCACGGAGCCATTGGATGGTAGGTGGCAGAGGAGCGGTGGTGGACATTGATGACAAAGACAGTAACGATGATGGAGAACGTGACGAATATCATGATGAACAGCAGGTATTCACCAATCAGTGGGATGACCTGGGGCAGACGAAGAAAGGTTAATTAAATATACAATATACTGTACATTTGCCATAAAGTACTACCTAAATTATCGAAAATATTTGTCTTTAGCATCATATTCTTGCATTTACACTTCATTGGTAAGAAAAGTCTGATCTAGTCACTTGTGGAGCTCAGCTTTTTCTGTGCTGTTTCTTTATTATGGTTATAATTTCCTTGCTGATTATGTTTCCCCATTGATTTCTTTAGCTAACATTTCTGCAGTTACTGCATGTGTTTTGTGTATTTTAGTTTTTAGTAGCAAAAGTACAATTTTAATACCAAGTTTAATTTTAAAATATAATTACTTTTAAATGATCTTTCTTCCACAATTTCTGTGCTTATTTTCCTTTTTTTCTGAATATAAAGGAGAGAAAACTAGCTCTTTTTTTGCTTTTATTTAGCTTAGTCTAAGGATGTTCATGTGTAAGAAGCAGCACATTGAAGAAAGTACTGAAGTACCTTCCCTTTGAATAAGTTTTTAAACAGAAACGTTTATCAGACAGATGTCAGTAACCTCTTAATTGAGTTACACGTTTTTAACAAGCTGCAGGTGTCTCACGAACAGTGACTGTTATCACCAGCGTTAATTTGAGTGAACAGTAATTAAGATTGTATTTATGATAATTGGACACAGAGGGAAGCAGAACTTTTAATATATTTTGAAAAAAAAAAAACTTTTTTGTGGCAACAGACCTTTGAGGATGACGGAATGATTTCTTCTATGACCAGGAGGAAGACGGTGAGGGACACGAGCACGGATGTAGAAAGAGACAGTTTCTCTCCTTCATCTGAAGGTAAGTAAAACACCAGCACTGTCAGAAAGGACAGACCCAGACATGGGATGATGAGGAAGAGGGTGTAGAACAAGGGCAGCCTCTTCAGGATGAAGGAGTAGGTGATAAATGGGTACCAGTAGACCCCATCCCTCCTGCTCCCCTTCACTCCTGTGGCATTTAGGATCTCCCACTCCCCGTTATCAAAGAAGTCTTTTCGGTCCACGTAGTTGTCCACCAGCACCAGGTCAACCATGTTTCCATCATAAGTCCAAGAGCCAAACTTCATGGAGCAGTTCTGTCGATCAAAGGGGAAAAAGGTGACGTCCATGGTGCAGGAGGACTTGTAGCTGGCCGGCGGAGTCCATGTTATGGTGCCATCCCAGCGCACGATGGCTTTGGTCATCAGAGAACCCTCAAAACGTCCATCCGCGCTGTGAACAAAGTCAGGAGAAAATTATTTTAGGGAAATGAAAAACTGATAATTTACAGGTGTTTTTAGAATGTTATATCAGCCAAAAAAGTATTTATATTTTAAAAGTCTGTCCACTTGGGTAATTTGGGCTGTGGGACACTCTGGGACATGGGTCTGATTCTTCTCGCCATGATGCACCAGACTTTTTAAATAGAATTCAATCTTATCAGTTAAATTCCAAAATTAAAATTAGACTCCAGGAAATATGTTAAAAAACACTAAGGAAGGAGGGGGGAAAACCTAAAAAAATTATTTACAAACCCCGACCTTGAGTTATTGCTGATAAGTGCTGCATAACTCACTTTTCGTAGAGTACGATGTCAGGCAGCCATATCGTCTCTGAAGGCACTCTGATGGAAGTGACGCCCCCATACTCATCTGGATCCCACTTTAGCTTCACATCAACCCACTCCTGAAAGTAAAGACATAATGATGCATTTTAGCAGGGCTGTATAAGAGAGCTATATAATGTCAGCACCACGGACAGCGCCAGTCAGCAAACAGGAACTGTCTCTGCCCTGCTAGTTCACAGTGAGGACAGTGAGGATTGTCATTCCATTCATTTATGATGATAATGATTTTATTTCCCTTACAAAGTGTACAGCACTCTGCTACAACGGTGGCCTTAACAGAGCTGGTATTCACAGTTTTAAAATTTTTATCGTGCATATTCATACCTGCCAAAGCCAGACGTTTGTTGTCATCAGCTGATTTTTTTCATCCTGAAAACACAACAAAAAATATCTTATAAATCTCAGAGGTTAGAAATCTCCGTAGCACTCAAAAGGATTTTCCAAGATAACATCAATGAACCTGAGCTGCAGCTCGAGGGACATTTGCCTGTATTCATCATTAAAAATGTTGTTCAAAAAGGTTGCAGGCAAATGTCCATCATTAAAAATGTTGTTCAAAAAGGTTCCAAAAAAAAGGTTTTGTTAATCTTAATTTTACAAAATATATGATAGCTAAATGGCTAAATAATATTTAATAATATTTTAAATATGTTTGCATTGAAAACGGAGTAAAGTCAAGCTTCTCGCACTTTTCCATTTGGCAAATGCAGCAGTAGTTCTGTCCAAATACCACAAGATGGCCCCCTCCTGAATGCTATTCACAAAAGTGGCGAACAACCACTAATGCTGATGCTGGCAAAATATGACCCTCGGTGTAGTTGGAGTGTGTGTGTGTGTGTGTAGCCTAGCGTAAATTATAAATGTGTCCTGGTGCCTCTCAGCCTGATGGCCTCATTACTTCCTCTGCTGCTCTGAAGGATCACCTTCTTTAACCTTTTCTTCCCCTCATGTCTTTTTACCGTCCTCCCGTTTCAGGCGTCTGAATTCCCTGAGCTCCTCCTTCTGCTCCTCACCTCTGCCTTTTTATCCTAACACAGTGCCTCTCTTTGTTAAAGTAACTTGGTTGATCTCAGCTCAGAGCCACCGTTTTCACTCCTGTCCTTTAGAGGTGAGAATATTTAAAATGCAGGGCTTTACTAAGTTGCTTTTCCAATGACAGGTGAAGGACAAATGCAGTGCAGTGTATATCAACTTTTTATTGGAATGTTAATCAAGGCTAATTAATGTGATGTGGATATCATACAGCAAAGTAGATTTCCTTAAAAAGTCAAAAACCTGAAGCTAAATTCAAATATTTAGCCGAAGGGAGACAGGAGTAAAAATATGGATGTCAGATCAAATCAACAAACCGATATTATTTTTATTAACATAACATTAACATCTTAATCGGACATCCCTAACAAAAATGTCTATGACATTCAGCCAATCAAATTTAGAGATTTCGCATCACCACATTTTCTCAGCCCTTTTTTTTTCATTCTAAACCACGCTTTTAAACGCCTTACCACATCGACCAGCTGGGAGATCTTGAGTCCGAAGCGTACTGTGATGGTGTCGTTGGAGTGCTGCACAGGCCGCACCCACTTCTGGTAACCTTTAAAAAGGTTCCTCAACAAGGAATCCTCCATTTCTGCCAGTGACACAAAGTCCTCTTCATCTGGAAGAAAGAGCAGAAGGATTTTTTTTCACAACTGACGACTAGAATTTAATCATTTCTGTTCATTACTAAAGCTAAAACTTCACTTGAATATCAGAATACGGTTACAAACCAATTTTTTAATCTGAATTAAATCTTTAGATTTTTCACCTCTGTGCTCAGATTAGCTGCCTAATCCAGCCCAGGTGACAATGAATAACATAAAATATTTCTTAAATATTTTGTTAATCTTTTTTTCTTGATATTTGTTTGTAACAAATCCAAAAGTCTTTTCCTAGGAATCAAACCACTCAGACTGTACACACACATGTAGATAACACGGCCTTGCCTAGCCTGACGGCCTGTCATGGCCTAGCGAATAGAGCGAAAAACAAATGATCGTGCTGACATGATCGCCACAGACAGCGTAAATGTCCAGGGCAGAGGAGCCGAGCACAGAGCTCTCTGCGCAGTCAGCCACGAGACATAACAGTCAGTTAAAGAGTGACGCTGACACTGAGCAGGACATGTAGTGCGCAGAATGAATTGTGCTTTCGCTTCAGCAGCCCCTGGTGGAGCACTGACAGCTGGGAGATTTCAGGGCTCGTCAGTAGATCCCCTACGTCGCTGCTTTTTTCTCTGAGTTCAAGTTAAACAGTCACGTGTCGTGGCTCTGAGGACAAACAGTGAGCACATCCTGAGCTGCAGAGTCCAAACACCGTCTTCTGTCACTGTTTATCAAAGACTCCCAGCTTAATGAGCTGTTTTTTCTTTCTTTTCTTTTTTTTTATTAATATTATTTTATTGAATCACACAGGAACTCAGTCAGTTGGAACGTTTGTTCAAATTAGAGCTGGATTTCTGGCAGCTCCAGTACTTCTTTGGTAACAGAAGCTGACAAGTGAGAAATGAGGAGTTTGCAATTTTAAGATGTCGGGGCACAAGAGTGTAGAGAGCAGATAAAGGAGAGAGTGAGTGAGAGAGACCAACTTCTATTCCCTACAGTGGCTGAGAGATGGGGAGCATGGGGCGAGGGAGGAGGAGGGGGTTTCTCCCCCTGGAGGAGACTGGAACTGGGGCGAGATGAAATGCTGCAGTGAGCTAACTTTGTCCTCACTTTTCACACGTGTGCTACCTGCTACTGCAGGTTTATTTAAGACACACGAGGGGGCGGGGGGGTGGTCCTCATTGAACCCTCATTATCTGGGTCTATAAACAAGGACACATCGAAGTGAATTAGCTCAGATGAGAATTAAACTGTTTCTCATTCTGCAACTCCAGTGCTTTGGAAGGTGGAGTTTGTTCCTGTTCAAACCTTCCTTTTTTGCAATCTCTCCTTTTCTCTATTTCTGTCCTTGTACAATCAGCGATTTTAGCAATTCTAGTGTTTGAAGAGAGTAAAAGACCTTATTTTCGTAGAATAATTGTCCTTAGTGATCAGCACAGGTTTAGACCCATGATATTTAGAAGTACAAAGAAGAGAGACTGAGGTAGAAATCTGAGAGATACGTAAATATTAAAGTGTCCAGTTTCCTGTTAAATGCAAATTAAAACAAAGTTGTTTTGTTTTATAACACTACTTTTATAGTTTAAATGTAACTTTCTTCATGATTTATTCATTTTACTTTGAGCACCCTTTGAGGCACTATGTAAATACAAATATTTTTATTACACCAGTATTATTTATCATTATTTTAATGTAAAATAGTCTCAAACGTTGTTAAAAAACATTCATACTTTTTAATGTTTTGTAGTTTATGTTGTCCTGGTACTTTTTGTTTTTCCATCTGTGGTCCGCCAAATTTGCCCTTACAACCCACTTATGAGTCACTCTCCACAATTTGAGCACACCTGGGCAATTTCCAGCCGTGCTAGCTGCAGGTCATGTCTAACCTGGTGTAAATGTAACCTGGTGAATTCACTCCGGTTTTTGGTTGAATTGTATTTACCTGCGAGCTAACTGCAATGTGTGTTGTTTTTCCCTCAGCGTTTCAGTTTTGTGGGATCAATGCACCAACCGAGAATAATCCATCCCAGCCCACGGCCTACTCCTTCATCTCACTGTGTGGAGAACAAACAGCTCTCCAGGTGGACAGGTGCTGCGTATCAAAGCAACAACGGAGCAGCTTTGCCAAATAACACAGAGGCTCGGGGAGAGTGCGGTGACCCAGCAGCTGGGGCAGGAGGAATGAAAGGCACATACATGAACAATGCCCGGGATGAGGAGCCGGCGTGCAGGAATAAATCCAAGCTTACCGTTTTATTTTTTTATATTTATTTTTATTTTTTTCAGAGCTCCAGCTGCAGGTGGTGGATTTCATGCGTTAACTCTTAGGAAGCGTGTTTGGTGAGCATAAACACAGCCGTCATTAAACCTTTTTTTTTTTTTTTTTCATGTAGCACATAGAATATGACTATAGACAAGCAACAGCCATAAAAAACCACTGGAAAGATCACGTTTTTGCAGGATGGGGGGCATCTGTGTGTGGCCCACCAACCAACTCCGAATTTTAACTCATCTTGGATCTAAGGTCGATAGAGAAGCCTTGTTTTAGCCAATTTGGTATTGGCTAAATTCCATCCTCTATCTTTACAGGAAGCAGCTCAGCCTGAAGATCTTCATCGACCAGAGAGGACAGACAAAGTCATGGACCAGTGGTGAGTATAAATTAAAGAACCTGTGTGTGTGTGTGCAGTGTGTACAATATGTGCACATTAGTGTGCAGCGATGAGGGAGCGATCACTTTGATCATCCCTGGGGGGGATGGGCTAGATTGAGGACCCTGTGATGTCTAGCGACATCCTTCAGAGACAATCACACAGCCAGTGTCCCCAGTTCAATACAAGCTGCTGGTTGAATGCAGTAAAACCAGAGATCAAAGTGTGCTGATGACTGACACCTGGGTGACCTCAGCGTTCAAACCTCCTACCTTATTTATAACCTGAAACACCCTCAGGGAACCACAGTGGTACGACCACCGCACTGCTGCAACCATCTGTTCACTTTGAAGACACAGCACGATGTTCCACCAAGAGGGGTCTGAACATATGGCTGTAAAAGCCGAATCAACTTTCCATAAATTTCATTCCAAGTCGAGGGGTTTTTTTTTTGTTAGTTTTTCCTCAGACATAGGAAGATTCTCTGCTCCTGTTCGATAAACAAGACAGGAGGCTTGGCAATGACGAATTCCATCAGTCATGAAATAGCCTTGAGAAACGCATTGTGCAGTATGAGAGTGCACATTAGGCTGAACACACACATCCGTTGGTTTGCTTAATGTCAGAGGCTCTAAACCCCATCTGACCACCGCTGACCTCATGTTGTGTGTTGTGTAACTGCAGACATAAACACTGCCAGGAATTCTGGGCCTTATGGGAGGATATGACAATGGGCCATTATGTGTATGTTGATAGATAGCCGCACACAAGGAGTTTATTGACTATTAATATAATCAATAATTATTCCCATCCCAAAAAGCCCTGAGTGGTGAGACTGCTGACACTGGAACAACGATGGATGGATGGATGGATGAACGAACGGATGGATGAGTGGCTTGATGAAGTGGTGGGTGGATAGATAGATAGATAGATAGATAGATCGATAGATAGATAGATAGATAGATCGATAGATAGATAGATAGATAGATCGATAGATAGATAGATAGATAGATCGATAGATAGATAGATAGATAGATCGATAGATAGATAGATAGATAGATAGATCGATAGATAGATAGATAGATAGATAGATAGATGGATGTATGAATGAAGTACGTAAGGAAGAATGAAGTGGTGGATGGATGGATGAAGTGATAGATAGATGGATGGATCGATGGACGAACAGATGGATGAGTGGGTTACTGAAGTTGTGGATGGATGGATGGACAAATGGATGGATGGATTGATGAATACTGTATTTTTCGGACTGTACTTTTTCCAACCTTTGGCTGGGTTTGCAACTTATATATTAAAATATATAATTTCATGTTTGTTATTTTCACACTGACAGCCACTAGAGGGCACTGGTGCAACTTATACCTCGGAGTGACTTACATATGTTTTTTTTCTTCTTCATTATGCAGTTTTTGGCCAGTGCAACTTATACTCCGGAGCAACTTATAGTCCGTAAAATACAGTAATTATTATTATACAACGGTTTCGACAGAAACTCTTGAGGTGAGCCTCCGACTAAATGCGTAGTAAACAACCGTTAGTTGCTAAATTCTGAGTGAAAGTTTACCTTGTTGTTCTCGACATTTTTCCATATCAATAATTCCATCAAAGTTAATTGTCATTAACCTACATCTATGCTGCGATTAATCAGACAAAAGGTTTAATTGTTTGACAGGCCCGTAGATAAATCAAATTGTGATTTATATATATATATAATAAAAATAAATATACAGTAGCCAACGTATCAAGGAAGAATAACATAGCAAAAAAAACCTTTATGAACTCATAAAAAGGTTAGACAAAGGTTAGCCAAAAAGGAAACCAATTAACTTTATGAACTCATAAAAAGGTTAGCCAAAAAGGAAACCAATTATTTCTTGCCAGAATAACTCTACCCCAATCACACTGAAGAAGAAAGAAGTATGGGCCACATAAGATCTTTCCAAGCGCCAAAAATGGCCCCCAGGACACTGCTGTCTGCTGTGGGTGGAGTGATTTTTGTGAACTTGTCAGCTTTCCAGTAACTCTCTTCCTTTCTCTGTTTCCACTGCTCATCTTCTTCCCCTTCATATTTCTTTCACACATTATGAATTTTACAGCATGTGCTGCCAAAAACTGACTCACCTCCAGATTAGACTGCTGCTGGAAATGCTTTGCAGGAAGATGCCACCAGCTTAGAGTCCACTGGATCTGAGCCTGCTTTTCTATAGTGCAGCAACCTAACAGTGAAGTCATATATACTTTATCACTCTAATCGCAGTGTCTTTGTCACAACAGCTTCACCTCTATATGATGTGAGGGGAGTCATTTCCCACTCATTACCCTTGTTTTAAATTAAATGCCATTTCCTGTGTTTCACCAGAGAGGTTCCTGTGATGACCGTCACAGGCGGCCGCCAAGGGCAACAGCAAAAAGAAAAACTATTATTTCTTAGGGGAATGACACAGGGTCTTCTACTGCTGAGTATCAAAGACTGTAGGAGAAGGTGAAGGGGACGCTATTATCTTCTGAGATCCATCGACTAGTCCTACCATCCATCCATCTAATAGTAACTATTACTTTTAGCTATTAACAGATTATTCATCACTTTTAGAGTTTGTCTTTTTTTTTTTAATTTAGTATAAATAGAGCTGTAAATTGATTAAAATGTGTAATCAGATTAATCACATGGTGGCCTAGGATGAATCACAATGAATCATGATAAAGAATGTCAGAATTATTCCTGATTAATCATGATTATTCAACATTCCTAAGGATAACAAAATCACTTTTTTCCATATGTTGCTGAAACAGAAAGACTAATAACAGCAGGTAGATGCCTGTGTTTCCCACTTGTTTTTTATTTATGACTGATCGAAATGATGGATTTATTCCCTTTTAAAAAATGTCAGGAATCTAATACAAAAGTATAATTTAAATCCTTCCAAAATATGCATGACCTACATACAATTTTTTATCGTTGACAGTGGATTGTAGAGTTTCTTTTGAAACCTCATTGAGTGTATCTGTATCAATACATTAAAATGCATAAAAGTCAGATTTAGCTCCACAAATTAATTACCTCATTCATTTTTTCCGACCTTTTAAAATGAGAGTGCATACAACAGATACAGTTTATTCATTTTTGAAGCTTTGCAACAGGCTACGATTTAACACTACTTGGTTTTTTTTTCAGTCCTTGGACAAAGCAACAAAAAAGTATCCAGAGTAACAGAATTAAAAAACGATTTGTAGAATCTACAAAGAAAATTATATTCTCTGATGAAAATGTAGCCGTAGCTTTTTGTTTTGTTTTTTGTTTGTTTTAAACATAGATTTCTCTTCTTCTTTTTTTTTCAAATTTGTTCTAGAACTCCATGTGACCAAAAAACTTTTTTTTTCCTCAGGTAAGAAGAAAGGAATGGTGAGGGTCTTGGGGCGGGGCCTATTTGTCCCAGCGCGTTCAATAGGCTAGGACCGCCACTGCTTAATTCCCTCTCGATGCTTGTTTATAACAAAGCTTCTTGTCAGTTCCCTGGAGGGCGCTGTGCGCTGCCCCCTGTCCTTAATAATAAATCATCACTGATCTCCTTTCACCTGCTGTTTATTCACACTGCCCTCCTGCCCTCCTGTCTCTAGGTGAGGTTAAAATTACGAGCGCAGCTGGAGAAAACAACCACCACCAGGACGCCGCTGCCGGAGGTCTTACCTTCATGGACCGAAGCGCATCTTCCATGGAGAACCAGGGAGAACCACAGCACCGCGACCGTTAACTTCATGCTCCTCATGTTCTCTGGATGTGATCAGATCATTTCTTATGCTCCCAGCATCCTGCAGCAGGAGGAATCACATCAGCAGCCGAACGGGACCTCCGGACCGTAGAGGAGCATATCCAGTTTGTGCTGAAGGATGAAGGAGCCGCTTATGGAAGCTCCGTCCAATGCGCAACGCCGCCTTCACACAATGGAGCAGCTACAGCCCGGTGCCCCCCTCCACAAACCTCATCCTGTCTCTCTACCCCACTCCCTCTCTCACTCTCTCTCTCTCTCTCTCTCTTTTTTTTTACGTGAAGAGCTGATGGATTCCGCTGCCTGGGGGAGGGATGGGATGGTGAGGGCTGGCCCGATAGAGGATGGAGGGACAAACATACCGGATCCTCCGAACTGTAAACAACTGTAAACAAACTGACGACTACTAATTAAATTAGTAAGTTTTCTTTTCACTACGCCATATGCTAATCTGAAAACAGCTCAACGTGGAAACATAAATTAAATGATGCTGCTAATGACAGCTAATGATATTGCGTTCTATCGTATAAACCTTTCCTCTGCATTGCCTTAATTCTCCAAACGCATTCTACCTAAAGTCCCCTCTAACGGGTAAAAAATTAAAAATAAACAAAGGTTTATATAAGGATAACTTCTATATAGAGATTATATAAGAAAAATAAATAATAAAAAATAAAAAAATAAAAAATAAAAAAATAAGATAGAAGTAAGGTGCTACAATTAACCAAATTACATGGACAATGTGGTAAGCTAACTTCCATGATAGCTAAGACTTATTGACGACAGATAGTACATTAGCTTGCAATAAATACTTTACTGTCATCTTCCAGTATGAGCAGTTTTATAGCAGGAAGTGTGTGTGTGTGTGTGCACACCATCACGAAAAACCAACCGCTGCAGTCATGCACTCTCTTTGACAGAACTCCAATATGTTATGCTATGCTAATATATGTTACATCATACAGCAGTACTGCAGTCAGTCATGTGAGGTTGTCAGCAAGGTTCTAATTGTAAGGAATGGTTTAAGCTAAAAGTAAATGGGTGTCACCAGCGTGTACTACTGTAATACAGGGAAAGACCATGGGTACCAGATAGGCAGCACATCCTGGAACCAAATCTGATTACAGCCCATAATGCACGGAGCGTAGCAGAAGCATTAGGCCCAGTATATTTACGTCAAATCTCCGGTGGGAAATTGTTGGTGTTCCATTTCAAAAAGGAACACTCAAGTGTCAGAAATTATTACATTTATTTTTTAAATACCAAAAAAAAAAAGACAAGATAGATATAATTGAAATTAGAAGAGTATACAGGGCCCAGTGTGAATGTGAAATTAGTAAGTTTAAGTGTTTCAGTCTTGAAGCCATGAGACTAAATTTGGTCAAGTGTTTATTTTCAAGCTCATAATTTCTATTCATCTTTTGCTTGAAAGAGATTTCTACTGATTAGTGAAGATAAGTGCTGTCTTCAGTGACTTATTCTGCCTCACTTTGTGTTGTTAAGACGAGCGCGGTGTAACTCTATATACATCCCTCAATGTTTCTCCCTTTTATATAAGGATTTTAATACTAATTTTAAAACTTTGACGTGACTTGACTGACTGGAGCGCAGGTTATTCAATTACCTGCTGTTTAGCCTGAGTAGAAGAGTTGATGTGATATCGATCTTACAGAATTTTTCATGCACTGTTGAAAATCCAAACGTTACGAACCCTCTGATTAATGGCTCTCATCAGTTAATAGGGCTGTAAAGGAGATAGAGTATTGGCCCTGTATGATTAACATCAAACCCGAGCAGCTTTTAAAGTTTTATGTCAATAACATAAAATAAAACATGTCACCGGGCAGAAAGCATGCCCTGCTTGCGGGTGAGGATTGCGGGTGATTGATGTCCGTGCGAGCGGCCAACAGCCCTGGCGTCTGACGGGGAACAGAGAGCTCACATTCATTTGCTTTGTGTCATTTATTCAGGCAGAGAAACAAGCGGTGGCTCGACTCGTAAACAACTCGGGGCAGCACGGCAGCGGAGATGGACTCTCTCTCTCTCCTAATTAAGTTTGAGCTGACAGCAGCTGGAGGAAGAACGGGATGAATGGTTCCGCGCCTACACACTGGCGCACAACCATCCAGACACAAAGCCGTTGAACTTTGATGCTTCGTTCACGTCGAAAACACTCCGGCTTTTTGGCTGTTCACAGGCAGAACCCGAAGTTAATGGTCCGGCTGTTTTTATTGGCTGTTTTCATCACTTTGATCAATGCCTGTGTTGTGGCCAAGGTCTGACCATGTAAACACACACAGACGCACACTGATACAAGGACTTGTTGTCTATTACTTGTGCCGGTGCAGATCAGTACAGTAAGTAATGCAATGGCCTTACACCTGAAGGGTTGTGGGTTTGATTCCATACTGTAGTGGTCTATTCGGGATTTATTTAGGATTAATTCAGGCAGGGCACCACTGAAGGACAAGGTGAGAAATGCATGGTACGCCACTAGGATAGAAGGCCAAGGTGAGAAATGCATGGTACGCCACTGATATATGTATATTCATCAGATGCAACTTGGCTGGTACCATTTCTTTAGACGCTCAAATTATCAATACAAGTGTGATGCATCATCAAGTAGTATCAGCTTCTAAAGACCTCAGACACACAGGAAGTCATTTTATATAAAACCAAATGTTCTTGTTTGTGTTTTCCTGAATGGAGGTGGTTCAGACTGTTCTAATTGTAGGACTCTTGCCTTACCCCCACAAGGTTCTAAATTCAGATCAACTAAGTTCACCAATCCAACATTAGGTTGCATTAGGAAGGGCATCCAGTGTAAAACTCTCTTAGTCTCTGGCTGCAGTAGGTTGATACTGTGAATGCACTCTCATGTACATACGGTACAGCCTACACAGTACCATAGTGCAGTCGTTTCCATTGTCATTTAACAGCCATGCCTCTGTATGTGTTCAGTGACCTTTTCAAACCAAAACATAACACTGAGATGAATGACGGCTGTGAGTTGGCCTCTGGTTGTAGGAGAATGTTCCTGTGTAAATGTTTCTGCAAAATCTGTTTTGGCTAAAGTTAGCTCAGCTGCTGTCATTTGTCGTTGCGATGCCTTGCTTCCTCCATGTACATGGCCAGAAGGCACCATGGTGGAAGAGTGGTTACTGAGAAGTAATTAAGAAGATCACTGGCTGAAACCCCCGGTCTTTCTGTGTGGAGTTTGCTTTCAATTAGGTTAAGTGGTTTAGACTGTGATGGCTGTTTGTTCTCTGTATGTGGCTCTGAGCTGAACTGGTGAACTGGCCTGGTGACTGCTGATATGATGATGTGGTAGAAGATGAGGTGATGATAGAAGGTTCTTCAAACAGATCATGTCTAGGAGCTGTGACCTTTTTTTCAAGTCCTTGCTATTTATATTGTTAAAACATGGTCTTTTTGGTGTACAGTGTACCTGCTTTATGTTCTTCTTTTGCTCCTTTTTTGCTTTACAAATGTGGATTTGAAATTGAGATAAGCGCATTTGCAAACGACCGCTGGCAGCTTTGTTTACCCAGACGAGATCGTACACAGCATACTATTGGCTAATACAATGCATACATGGTGTATTATTGGCTAATTGAACATGCTCTTCTGTTGCTCACGCTGATTGGCTCATGCATCGTAGCATCTCTCAGCATCTCCCGACCACTCTCTCGTTCACTTCGCTCTGTGTCGCCATTATACAACTCTACCGTCCATATAATTGTGTGGGAAAGGGTAATACAGTCTAGGGAGGGTTGATAACAGTGTGGGGGAGGTTCGTAAAGGGTAAATATATACATCAATAATATAATAACTATCTCGCCTCTGCTTGGGTGCTAAGCTGCCACCCCTGCTCACTTTGGTGATGGGTTAAAAGCAGAGGTGAAATTTCGTCGTGTGCTGTGTCACAATGACAAATAATTCACTTTCATTTTTTCCATAATAGCAAGATAGAGAGAGAGAGAGTTATTTTTGTATGGATAGATTGATTTTTAATGCAAACTGGGTCAAGACGGTTTTAGTTTTAGAGAGGTTTGAGAAACACCACTCCACACATCATACTGTTTTCCCAGTAAGCATACAGTAAGACATTCACTGAAATCTTAGCTGTGTTTTCTTTAAAAGGTCATTCTTTTGGTGCGCGCTCCAGGCTGCACCTGCTCGTGGTGACGAGGGCGTAAAAAATCCAGCCAGACACCTGAGCAGACGACGGACAAATCCACATCCTCCAGCGCTGATCCAGTTTGGATGAGTGGCCCAGGAAAAGCTGCTCCCAAAAGAATTCAGCTAAGTCTTCACTTGTTTTTTTGTTCTCAGACAGAGCAAGACCAAAAGTGGCTGAAGTAGAACGGCGGAAAAATAGACTCCGAATTGTTTATATACATAACAAATCGAGCTAATTGGTACATTTGTAGGGAGGGGTTTATCTCTTTGTTTGTAAATCCTCTTAATGTTGAGTTCTTGTACGCGGCACTCTTCACCCCCCAGAGGAAGCACTTTAATAGCTATGCAGTGCAAATGGATGTTTCAGTGTGGAGAGCTCTTTGTCAGGAGATGATTTCAATTTCTTTTTTTTTTTTGCGTGCTCATATTTGCACTCAAACGCAATGATTTAAATGAAAAATAACCAAAACATTACACTCTTTGGCACAGGCGTAGAGGGGAGAGGAGGAGAATGTGTGCAGAGAGACACAGAGGGGACACGGGGAGACGGGAAACAGGAATCCAGCTCTGATTATGACAAAGTGATAAGTCTCATTTTCTGCTCCAGTTGCTGTGCAGCCCCGAGCAGCTGCAGTGGCACGGTAGGATCCTCTCTGATATTCCACGGCTGCACTCCCCGAACTGGACGATTATCAATGATATGGAAAAATACAAGAAGAAGAAGAAGCGATGGAGCTCAGCTGGAAGGAGGAGACGACTGAGGAGAGGCCTGAGAGAAAGGACCTGGAGTGAGAACACACTCTGGCTTCATTAGTGCACCAGTGAAGACGTGTGAGAATAAAACACACTCCCACACACACACAATCTCCTCCTGTTTTCCACAGCAGTGACCGTGAATGTTGTTGTTGTGCCCTGTTGTCCTTCATTGATTAGAAATTCCCTACTTTAATCCCCGAGCTCCTCCAGAGAAAATGTTAAAAATGACCTTTAACACAGACACTGGTCCACCTGCTGCGTTTGTGCGATCAGATTGTGGCTGTGTATGCCAATGAAACACACAGTCTTCAAAAATGGTTAGTGGACTATTCGACGGTTGATGAACCGTTTTATCACCACATTTGAGATTCATGTTAAATACATTACACATTACCAGCCAATTGCCATGGAATATGTCAGTGAAGATGTCAGGCCTGTGTACTGATTATGGTAATATTTTTATTATCTCACTATATTTATATACTTCATATATTCATATAAAACCTGTGATCTAATACAAAATGAAATTTCTGATGAGATTTGTAGACACATATGGAAATGCCTTTTGTAAAAAAAAAATTCTCATTTGAATGATGTTTATGTAACATTGCATTTGTAGGGATATGTTAAGCGCACTTCACATCATCACTCTGATTTAAGATATTATCTAAGAGCCATGCACTTCAATCAGAATTTTTTTTCCCACTATTTTCTAAAAATTGTATAAAACTGTTTTGTTTTGTTTTTTCTCACTGATTATCTTAACCTTTATTTCTTCATGGCTGTGACTGATTCACTTCCTGTGTTTGATAATATATATATATAATATTCCACTGCGGCAGGAGTTAATTAGTTCTGCTCAGCAAAAACGCACAGCACAAAAGCCCAGGCACATTAGTCCGACGTTGGGTTGAAAATGTTTGAAAGAAAAGAAATAAACATTTAGAATTTTAATTTAAAGCAGGTCAGGCTGGGTTTAATTAATAGCATAGAATGTCAGAGAGAGCGGCCTAATATTTTCTACGTTAAAGCTTGTACACATTGATATTCCAAGGATGCAGTAACAGTAAAATAAAGGGACAAACTGCAGCTTTATAGATTTTTTTTTGTTTGTTTGTTTGTTTTGCACCTGCGTGGTCACTACTGCACGGTAGAACTGTGAAATTCAATCACAAACAGTCACCACAGACACTGTCACTTAAATGTCACCATTCATAAAGCAACAGTTCTTGTCACCAAAGTCATCTATAGGGGTCATGCTGACCCCTATAGATGACTCAGTCTACTGACACACCGTGGCCACTAGAGCTGACTCCTCGTGCCTAAACGTCTTGTTTTAACCAAACGTTCCCAAAACATTAATATTTAATTCCCATACAGTTTTTTGTACATTCTCTTCCTTGGTTGGATTAACATTTACATTTTAAATGTTTCTATTCCCAAACAATTCATTATGTTACAGTGTTTGTTCTTGAAAGAGTATCTAACCCTGCCAATGTTTAGTTGAAAATAACTACATTTAAAAGATAAATCCTGGACCTTAGTCAGTATACTGTGTAGATTTCCCTGTATGAACTCACGGACATCGACTCAAACCTTTCCCTGATCCCAACGCAACCTGAGTTCTGAATATTAGATGACCAAAACAAAAAAAAAATTGCTAAGACCAGCCACAGAAAAAGTGCTGAGAGTCAGGCGGCTTTTAGTAAAGTAACAAATCATAATAATAACGCTAATAATAAGTTTTATTTAAATTTTATGACAACATTCTCATTACTGCAGTGCGTCCAGATTTGTCTGAATGTACGTTATGTTGTTATTTTAACAGATTCAAACAAAATTATACTAGGAAAAACCCTCCAATGGATGTTTTGAAGTGCCTGAAAAATTAAATGTATATGTTTAATAATAATGAAAAAAAATAGAGGGAAAATAAAGTGTCCATGACTCAAGTTTTCATCCTCCGCCGTTGTGTTTATTTCATGTTTATTTCTTTCCTTTCGTCACTCAGTACATCGCGGATTTCTTTTTAGATTTGTTATATTCCCATCTCGCGAGTTTCTACCGCTATATCGCGGTATTTTAAAGTAGATATTTTTTTAAATTTCCAATATTTCCGTGATAAAAACGTTTTCTAACCTTAAAAAAATTAAACGGTAAAAATATAGCAAAAAATATACTAAAAGACGTCGCTGGTAGATTTGTTCACCAAGAGATGAACAGCATTGAGCATGCTGTTCTGTTCCTCACGCTGATTGACTCACGCATCTCAGCATATTCCTTTGTCTGTCTGTCACTTATATGGTGCGTTGCTGATAAGTCTGCGCTCATGTGTTTGGGTAAAGTTGACCCTAATTTAACGCCCTCTGATCATCTTCTCAGGCTTCTGTTACTATGCCCAAACGAAGACGTAGACACAGATGAAAGTTAACAGCCTTTATTTCTCTAACACAATATGTCCGCTCCTGCGCTGTGGCCGGCTTTCATATACTGTCAGTCACTAGGCTTGATTACTTCAATTGCGCTCACCTGCGTCGCCACTCCCATACTCTCCCGCAGCTAACCGCTAACCGCTAACCTTCGCCGCAGCCCACAATATGCATTTAAGATTTACGTATGTCTTATATTTACATTATGCAACTCTACTGTGCATATAATTATGTGGAAAAGGATAATAGAGTCAAGGGAGGGTTGATGACAGTGTGGGGGAGGTTTGTAAACGGTAAACATCTAGGTAAATAATACGATCTCGCCTCTACTTCGCAATTTTACCTTTTCGTGGAGGGTGTTGGAACACAACTTCTGGGATCACTGTATTTTGTACGATGCCAGTGCTTTCAAGATGTGTACCAGGTAAGGTATTTGTTTTTCCTTCCATGTTAAAATTGAAATTTCTCCTGTCAAACTGCATAAATGACATTATTGATTATCATTACTGATACTGCTATTTTTCATTATATTTTTTCATGATAGTGAGACTATAGTCTAATCTGTTTTTGGTGATATTTTGAAATATACATATAAAATATTTTTTGGGGGTTAAACAGTTTTGCCTGTTTTTGACAAGTTTGAGAAATTGTTGTTTAAGTATTCGATGGATCTTTGCTAGGAGAAAATGACCAAACGATAGCTGAGATGATTAAAATAATATATTTTGTTAAACTGAGAGTATTGAAAAACTCCAGTCAAATATTGCCTTTTAGAACATTTCACATATCATGTATTTATAAAACATTCATATATGTTGTCATAGGTGTCTATGTTTCTCATTTCTCTCCTAGAAACGGGAGCAAAGCTACATTTTCCCTGACCTGTGGGTGCACATTGTTGTGAAACACTCCTCTTCCATCGCTCTCTCTGAAGTGTGCCTGTGAGACCTGCTGCTGGGTTCAACTTCCAGGTGTGTTGTCTTTCTTCTCCTTCCTCTGTACTTGCTTCAAAACCCAGATTAAGGTGATGAATGTGGGATTTTGTGGTGATCTCAGCAAGTAATGTAGCAGAGACTGGAATAACACTTAGTGTTTTGACTGAAAAATTAATTAAATGATGGTAGATGGTAAGGCTATAGTAAGGCATG